TAATGTTGACTAGTCTGTTGATAGTCAGTGGTTCAAGTTTTCAGAAAAACTTGAATCAGTTGTATGTGATCTAATCTTTTGGATGATTCTTCGTAAACTAACTAATCGTCCGCCGTGGGTTTATGAACAGGTTAGAAAACTCTTTAGGTGTGACAAAAGGTCGTGGAACACGTTAATTTCCAATGGTTCTAATAAGTTTAGATTTCGTTGTCGTATAACTAGAAATAACCATAAGTTTTTGATCAAAACTGTGGGGGTATATATTATGTGAAACCCGTTAGAGACCGTCAGAACTACTCTAAATTAATTTTCCCATATATTACAAGAAAATGAAAGAGTGATGCTACCACATCTCTAGTTTAGCTGAATATGATGTAACAAAGACTGAAGCCTCGCTGTTTGACTTCAACAAAATGTTCTCCGAAGACTATAGTAACTTTTTCAGAACACCATTTCACAGTGGGTATAATGTTCATGGAGTTGGAAGTTTCCTCACCACTTCGGAAAACAAACCATGGTAAGTCCAGCATTCTGGGTGAGCTTCGCCGACCTATTAGCAGATATAACTGGTGTACACCATATCACTGGGTCAGCTGAAATCCTTGAGAGATCGAAGGGTCGTATTTTCAACTCAATATTAAAATATGGGATAAGAAAAATGGTTGTTAACAATTATCATGTGAGTTTGACCACTATTTCTGCCAAACTGCCGAAGTTATCTCCAGTTTTGCAAGAAAACATGTTGAAGCTAACAGACTTCCCATCAGGGGGAGGTATGGTTTGATGATCAGTTATCCTTATCAGACTAATCTCCCTATTACATTAGGTCTGGGTGGAAGCCGACTATAATATTGTTCCTACTGAAATTGTGTTTGTTGATTTTAGTAAAGCTTTTGACAAAGTTTCCCCGTTGGGATACCTAAGAAAGTTGCAGAGGTTTGGGCTTATAGCAAGACGAGGAACTGAATAAAATACCTCCTTAGAAATAACATATGAGTAAAGATTGTCGGGGTACTGGCAGCTTGGCAGCCAGTGAAGAGCGGAATGTCACAATATGCTGTTCAAGGAACTTTCTTGTTCCAAATCTATATTAATGACATGTAATTAAAGGTTAGATAGTCTTGTCTCCGCTTTCCAGACGATGCTGAACTGTGAAGAACTATCTGTAGTCATAGTGGCAGAAAATTAGATGCGCTAATGGAATGGCTTAGAAAATAGTCACCGGAGACTAACACAAACTAGAGTGCAGTCATGCACATTGATCACAACAATCTGCATAATTACCCTATTGATGAACTTTCACTGTCCAATATTCCAGAGGACAAGGATCTACAATTAGTTGTAATCCACGAACTTGAAGCAGCAGTAAACTGCATAGGACCGGCTGCTAAAGCTTCCAGAGGTATATGGTCCCTTCATAAGACCTTTAAGCGTCTTCATAGAGATATTTTTCGTATATTACACTAGACTTACATCACACCTTATTTAGAATACGGGATCTATGTTTCAGATAAAAAACAGACATAAAGTTACCGTTTCAAAATGTAAGAACATAAACGTTAAAGGGGACTTTCGAGCCTCTTCTGTGAGGGACGACTGAGTCGTTCAGATCTTTTCCATTTGTGTTATTGGCAGATATAATGACATCCCATACTAGCGTTACGCATCCTGAGTAATGATTTAAGCGCTAACCAGTGTGATTTGTCCTACCCTCTAGAACTAAACACTTGAGAAGACACCACCTAAAAATTCAAAAACTATGGTTGGGTTGTCTTCGTCTGTAAGTCCTTTTCTTGCAGTATGTCATAAACTGTTGAGATTCTCCACCGGACCAAGATCTGACCTCTTACACACTGCAAATTGCAAGGCCTTGGTTGCCTGGAGGCAATCGAATAGGTCGAATCCAAAAGTGAGGAGGTAATTAGCGTCACTGTCTGCTAAACTTTCGTACGAGGTTGAAATATATTAAAAATTTGAAGGCAGCAAACCTATATTTTCTAACTTTGAAGGATGGAAAGTTTTTACAAACATAAAGGAATGATTTTAGATCAGAATCAACTACTAGTTAGCTAGCTACAGATAACAAGCAGCTTCGGTAACATTTTAGGCTTCAAGCTGTATAACTTTTACCGTAATAACTGCATTTGTATAGAGAGTGAGACACATCCAACTGGGTCTTTTTGTTACGGTAAATGCATACCGTCCGGCCTTTTAGCCTCATCATCCTCATCGTAAAGCAGCCCTAAAGTTTTAAATTAGGATCCGTAGGTCCTCTCAGCTCTGATAAAAATAGCTTCCTTCAGTTTTATTATTGCATATCAAGCTATGAAGACACATTAGTGAAGCGGATGTCAGTGCAAACTCTAAACATGCCTTTTCATTGTAAGGATGTAGATATTAATGCAACTTTCGAATATTTTGCGGCCATTGAACTGTTTAGCATTACGAATTTGTGACACCATAACATGACGGCCGTGCAACTGTCTCAATAACTTTCTATTGCTAATTGCTGGAAGATAGCGTTCTTAAACGAAATGTAGTGTCAATATAGCATTTGACCCATAGCATGAAACTTACCCACTGAACTTCAACTTCAAACACAAGTAAGGGGGTGCCAGTAGTCTTGACTACCTTTCTCCACCGGCAAGTAGTGGTCACGTAGTTATTACTTTTAGATTTAGAAAGTTCAAAGTGCTTTATCAATCTATTTCTTCTTCATTTAATACTTTGGCGGACAGATATGTTGGTAATTAGAAACATTATAACCTCAGCGGAGTAGGTTTTGATAAGAACACCCTTCGCGAACTTCAAACAGTGACCACAAGTTTACTGAACTACAACATAGAACATCCAACCTAATATTTGGCAGCCAGATGCGGTGAAAATAAAAGATAGTACAACCTCAGCAGACAGGTCCTTAAATACATAGTGGACTTTTGAAAGACCACACTTGAAAGTAACACATCTCTCTTCATTCCTTGTTCAACACTGGGAAGATCTACTCATGTATATCTTTTGATAGGCAGTCGGATCCACAGGTTACTAAAGCGGAAGAAGTACTTTTGAGATCCTATATATAGACATGGAGTCAAGTTCCGAACTCATGTAACACTCTTACTACCATACGTCGCGATGAGTAGGAAAGGCAATCAATGCATAATTCCATCAACTGTCCCAAAAGACTGTCTCTCATATTACGTGCAAGACTAAGAGATACGATGAAACAACCGACTTACTTCCTAATGGGGACTTAGGTGGTTAGTGGATTCTCACACGTAAAAAGCTGAAAACTTATCTGGCCACTTAAGTAAGATCTTTTCGGTTGATAGTAACACCAAAATATTGAGTACTACAACGGCCGATACCTCCACCAAATAACACCTATACCAGTGAGTAAGAAAACAATATTGAAACTGCTTAACTGATTAAAGACCGGTAAGTTACTGGATTCAGATGGAGTAGGCTCTAGGTTGCTGTTAGCTTTGGCTGACATAAGTTGGAGACTACTTGTAGAGATATTGATTATGCCTTGGTGTTGGGCTTGACTAATTGGGAAAAAAGATGTTATGTTTCGTCCATTTTAAAGGATAGTGATCGGCAACCAGTTACCCACTATCTCCCTGTTAGTTTTACTGATATATTTGTAAACGTCATCAAGAAAGTAGCTAGAGATAGACTACTAAGTCACATGGAAAGACATTTTTTTGGCGCATGAACGAATCAGTATTTGACTCAAAACTCATGTCTGGTAAATTTGCTTTGAACAGGAGAGGAATGTGTGGATGCTTAGAACAATGAATTGCCCACTAATGCGGTATATATTGACTTAAGTTAGGTACTTGGTGAGACGTTTCATTCCGTCTCTCAAAAGAAGCTAGCTGATTTGAATGTAGATATCGATATGCAAGAGTGATTAAACAGCTACCGGCATGATCAGGCAAAGAGGGATACAAAACTGAGTACTCTTTTCATGGAAACCTATTACTGGTGGGGTTCCTTAGCACATTACACTAAGAATTCGTTAGCTTCTACTTTACATTGATGAAAAACAGAGAATGCTTGAGTTGTCATCTTTCCTATTTTGAAATAATGTTAGGACTTGGAAGACAATTTACGATACCGAGTGAAAGCTAAAGCTTTAGACTAACTTAAATTAGCTAGTCGAATGATCTCTACATTGAAATCTGAAAATCAGTTACAACACGGTTGGAATAATGCTAACAGCCTTATGATCATTGCTTAATGAGTGGAACAGTATTGCCATATGTTCAAGAATAAGATAATTTGAGATTTAACGCAAACAACAGCTTAAAGGCAACTTCTCATTGTCATGCGGTTGCAAATAAATCATTCTAGACACTATGTTTGCTTATCGCAGCATTTAAGTGTTTTGATGAAGACATTTTTCAACTATCACATCGTATTTATGTACCACCTTGCCTTGATAACTGGATTCAGACAGCTGGTCGTCGCTTTAAGAAAGGAGCAAACACTCTAGAATAGATGCAAGGGGTAGTTACTAACTTACTGATAAAAAATTCTCACCTTTTCCATGAAAATCGGTTAGAAAGTTTGAACCCTTTCAAATTATTATGTAGTAGGAGCGATCTTATTTTGGTGCATCTTATATCGAATAAAGACTACATTGCTGGAATCTCTGACCGATTTCATCATTCTAGGACGCATTATCTGGGAGATTATCGTAAATCAGTCCAAAAGCTGCTGTCGAGTAAAATGCAGGTGGAACTTAGATTCTCTCACGTAGTGGTCAAGAATTTTAACTTGTTACCGGAGCTAGTGGAAGCAGGTTACTAAGTGATTAATTTCAAGGAGAAATTAGGTCTTACCCAAGATATTTACTGTGAGGATGAACACAAAATATTTAGTCTAATGCCCCCAACAATGATGACTGTGACTTTTGGATGCATTAGAATTAGGTTGGGAAATGGTGAGTTTATAACCAATGAATAACACATTTTAAGGCATATTGTTTAACTCACCACTTTTAGAAACGTGTTTCCACTGTGCATCTGGAAACTCGTACTTCCCAGCTCGAATCTTTGATTTCATACCAGGAGAAATTGGTTGACCATTTTGGCTAAAAAATGGTGGGCAACCTGATAGTCTAAAACGCGTTACTAAATACAAAGACTTACAAGATATAGGTGATTATCCCCAAGGACCAAATGTCACAAGACTTGTCATACCTTTCGAAATTAAGAATTTCAGGAGCTAAGTATGTTACAATACTAGCATAAAAGAACTTACGCACATAGTAAGGAGTATAGCATGGTGTTTGAAGAGACTTCTTGGCAACAACCTCCTTTGCGAACCCGAAATCTGTAAGCTTAAGGACAGCATTTGGCTCATCCGATGAGTAAAGTAGGTTTTCCGGCTGAAGATAAGTGCATTCAAAAACACTGACTTACTTTCAGGTCACGGTGTGCAATATTTCGTTCGTGTAGGTAGGCAATTGCAGATGATATTTGATATACTACTTTTGCAGCTTCTGAAAGAATAAAGTGCACTGTATATGTATTACCACTCTCCGTGAAATTTTCAAGCTCCTTTATCTTGTTGAATAATTCCCCGCCTTTCATACATTCCATTACAATCAACAGATAATTCTTCTTGGTGTTGTGGTTAATGTTCTCGAATACATCAACAACTTTCACGACATTTGGACAGTCCGAAACTCTCCAGTGAAGTTCAGCTTCACGTCTTGACTTCTGATTGTCTTCAAGTATCTGGTGATCCAAAATGTCACACTAATGCACACCATTACCTTCAGAGCATATTGAACACCTGTTGCTTTATGGATACATTGTACCACTTTTCCAGTTATTCCAAACCCAAGAACATGATCAGTTATCGTATACTCCGATGTTATTGCAGATGTTTTAGGGATGAATGACCTCGAGGTCAACATTTGCCCAAGCAATAATTAGTCACACAATCTAAAATCCCGGGTGTTGGAGGCCTTCACATTCAGTGCAGCCCAACTTGGTTAGAACCAGTGATTGTCTTTACACTTACTTTCCGATACTGATCAAAGGCTACTGATCTCTGTAGGAGACTTATTCATCGCTTCCAAGCCTTGGCTGTTCTGTCTCTAATACATTAAGTATTAGGTTTGATGCTGGTTCGAAATTCAGACTTCGTGCTGTGAAACCACCGAACAATGGTTCTTGGGTTTCTGCTTTTGTCCTTATCGAATACGCTCTGTGTTTATAGCAGTCAGCACTTTTTGATCCCAAGAAACCTGAAAGGATAGAGGTAACTAGTTAATTAATTAGCTTGCAAAAGGAAATGCTGTCACCCATGGTTTGTAAGACAACGGTCAGCTTCTCGTAAACGGTTCGTCTGTAACAATGGGCTGTAAATGTGCATCAGACCTCCTCTATAGAAGCATCGGGGGAGAAGAATATGATAAATACTGTAACTCCTAATGAATTAGCGCGGACTATTCAATATGTTCTCCCATGTTCTAGTCTGAAAGCATGGTCCCCATGGCATGGGTTCAAATTATAGCTTAAAGGGGATGGCCCGGGATGAAGAAGAGGATTATAGGCGATACAGAACACCATGGTCATATCTGCTCTGATCTCCCTGTGTCGTCCCGGTTGTGGCTTAAGAGCAACTACGCGTTGCAGATAGGGTCTAAGATTTGACCCAGCCACTTTCCTCGTAGCTCTTCTCTGAACCCGTCCTGGAATGGCAGCGTCCCTTTTCAAGTATGTCAGTATAGCTACAGAATTTTTCCTTAGATGGAGACAAGTGCATAGCCCATACACAATAATGAAAATACCTGGAATTATACTCCCCAGAATAAGAGGCAGAAACCGTAGGACTCTATATGCCTTGATGGTTGCAAGGCGACAATGTAGCGAAGCTACAAACGCGTCACTCAGAGCAACTTCTAAATCTTTTTTGGTGTTCGGCTGGCAAACATCTGTTTAGCCCAAACAGCAGGAACTAGAATTTCACCTATGTTGTTCCACAACCATTATCCTGGGCATCTCTTATTTGAGGGGACGGGTGGTTTTCATTCGTTCAGTTTACGATTTTAGAAGGGTTCTCGTGTAGGACTTGAACATTCACTGAACCCAGTGTCTCCCCCCGAACCCTGAAGTTCATCAGCACTCAAAAGTCAGCAATGGACCAATAATGGAACCTTGAAGAACCCTTGAGCAGACAGTGGGAAACCATTCAGATAAGGAGGAGCCCACTCTGATTGATTGTAAGTGACTGCCAAGCTAGCACCCAAGTCAAGTGGATAACATGCCGTATACCTCCACAAGATGAAGTTTCTTGGGCAGGATTTCATGAATAATCATGTTAAGGTCTTTTGAAAAAGCATTCAGCCAGACATGGATGAGGTTTTTCGCCTAAACTGGTGTCTCACATTAACTTTATTATGTGAGGATAAGAATTATTACTATGTAAACTCCAATACTCTGTATACAATGAACAGTATTGTTTTCTCGTCCGTTTCATAACCAGAAGGATCTTCGGATGTGTTTTATGGGGCCTAATGACATTACCCTGTGTACGATACAGGACCCGTAAAATCTTGTAGATGTTTTGGCATATATCAATGTGGTGATGCCTGTAAACTGGCTTATATCATGTTAAATTGCTGATATGAGAATAAACTATTTACTTAAGTTGGTTTAGCAGTTATTACGCAAGCTCGATTGAAGCCCTTTGTTCCATTAGGAACCCAAGGGACAAATAAACAAATAAATAATACGCACGCTTGATAATCTAGACAGTCAGAGGGCCTAGTTCGTTGAGTGTTGTGCAACGTAGTTGTGTTGGATCCAGTGTATTACCAGGTTCAGAGAAATTGAGAATTTCTTTGGCAGCCGTCAAAGCGAATGGGCAGGCTACAGGCTCTAATTTCAGTGGGGGGCTGATTTCACGGTTGAGAGAACTAGACGGAAAAGAAATTAGTCAGCAGGGATGTTCTTAAAGATTTTATTTCAACTCTATGTGCTGGTTTACATATTTCACAGTTTCCCGTTTGTGAGAAATGAAGTGGTTGCCCAAGTGAAAATCGCATATCACGCAGAATCTTAAAAAAGAAGTCAAGATCTATCTTTTGATTGTTCCGTCCAAAGCTGTTACAACCTACGGGACATACATCTAGATACGTAATCCCGTCCATACTCTTGTCCAAGCAGGCCAGATGTGGAAAAACCCCGGCGAATTTCTATCTTAAATTTGTCGTTAATACTAATCCTACTGGAGACGAATGAGCAGTGTTCGAGCAATACTTCAACCGAGTCTTCTGCGTCAGGACATTTGGTCCATGGCTGTAAAAGATACGGGTCATACAACCAAAAAATTCTCCACTTAAGGGGCCAACTTGTGCCTCTCCAGCGGATGCCAGGTAGCTAAAATACCTCAGAAACAAGTCCATGGGACTATAGAGATTAGACAGTGTCAGAGACCGAAGACAAAGTTTCACGTTGGCAGTGGGTGAACAGAGGTGTATCCAGCCACACTTGTCCAAGTTCAATCAAAACTTTTATGTAGTTGACCAGTTGATCACCTGGAATGGTTCTTTCTGTGCCAATGTTCGTAAGTAGTTTGAATCATCAACATGGAATGTATAGATCACCTGAATGTCATTGACGTACAGAAACGGTTTACCATGTATGAAACAGCCAGAAGTCACCGATGAGGGTGATGAGAAGCAGAGGGCCTGGCACATTACCCCGGGTGACACCAGATGTGGTGGCTCTAGATTTTGAAAGATGCAGCCCAGCTCTCACTGCTTGGGAACTGCTGCTTAGTTTGGATCCAATCCAACTCGGCAATGGGGATTCTTTCTGGTGAGCCCTAAGTTTTCACGAGGGCAGAGAATGGCCAACGCGGTCAGATGCCTTCCAGCTGCCAAAATAGAGGACTGCGACTAATAAGTGTTGGTCACAGCTACTGGTTGCGCATTCAAAGAAGTGGAAGTGGCAAGTCATGCATGAACCACACTTGTCATTGCTGCACACTTTCTTGTTGACAATTCCCTTGCCGAATTTTGGATTTCAGATAGGCTCTCCCGGAAAACACATATCTGGTCGTCTGTATATTTCCCCCAAACCTCCTGACCGTCAGCACATAGGAGTAAACGTGTGTTTAAGGTTGTTGGTAGGTCGTTTAAAACACCAGTTTTAAAGTGAACCCAGAGTGGGGCCCTGACGCCAGCCACTGAGTATTCACAGCCATCTACTTATGTATGAACCAAATACGAGTGGTTGAGACCGATTATTTCGACTACCTATGAGCCACACGAGTTAGTCCCCACATAAACCCTTAAGCCAAAGCCTCTGCGTAGCGCGTCACGATCACTGTGGACACAGAGTGAGCGCTGTGGTGGAGCATAACTCCTTAACACTACGCTTTGGTATGTATTGCGTAGTTAATCAGCAGTTTATTTACTGATTAAAACGTCTCAACATACGATACTTGCGCAAAGGAAATGTGACGGAAATGATATGAATAACCTCGGCGAACATCTTAGGAAATTCAAGCGACCCCATATAAACAGACTTCTGACCAACGGAAGGAGTTCGCCCGTTCGATGCCATCAGCAGGCTAAGTAAGAGCTCGGGTGAGAGATAATTTAGTAATCTTTTTTCCGTTTGATAATGAGGAGATAAGTTATGCACTACTCTTTCCATTACCTTGGTAACTGGGGGGACCAAAAGCGTCAGCTTACAATTATAGGTGATGGCTTTGTCAGCAATCTCACGCACCGAGTAAACTGCCACCGATTTCTAGTCTGGGGGTAAGTTAGCTTCTAGAAACGAAATACTAAGGAATTTTTTGTAAGTCAGATAAAACATTGTCACACTTGGTTACGTCGTTCAACTGCAATCAGGCGCAGCAGGTCTACGAAGATTTCAGCCCTTAAGCTTTCCCTCAACCTTAAGAAGCTCGTGTGCTATGCAACACAGCCTCCTGTAATCCCGGTGCCTATCTGGTTTGAGGTCAACACTTCCACCTGTCAGAAACTTCACCTTCATTTCCCAGCAAGTAGGTTAGGTTAGAATCGGTGTGCTCAGCCTGTGAAATATATACGAAGTGCAAAGTTGCCATTCTTAATCATGAGTATGATCCCCTGCACCTCACCTCCACTTTATGCTCACATATGTCCAGCAGTCGGTTCTGTTCCATTCAACTTTTGCTGTAAACTCGTCACTGATGTTCACAGCCTCTGGCCGTTCATACTGTCGGCTAATCCCCTTCGATTCCATTCCGGCAGATAACGTTGCCAACTTTCAGCCTTTTTATCTTCCCTTTTGAAAATCGTGCCTTGGAATCAGGCGTAGAGAAAATGATATCTCACCTACTTAAATTACTGCAAAAGCCACATTTCCCTCCTCTAGCACCAAGTCAAAAAGTATAGAGGCAAATGTTTTATTCCAGATTTCTATCAGGCCTACTATTTTCATCCAAGTCCGAAGCTACATACCCGGGAACATCTCAGTGGTAGGCTTACCAGTGGCTGCATATCCGGCGAACCTTTTATATAGTCATACTGTTAGTGTTACGCCACTCGTGAGTTCTTTAGCCTGAAAGACACTCCCATTTACAGGTTCTGTGGTCTTTGTGCTCCTACTCAGGCCTAAGTATTTCATGAAACCGCTTGTCCTTCTGTAAGCTGACTGGGGAATCTGGCAAGCTAAACTGCCCATTGCCTCTTGTCTTCCGCAGTTCCACTCTTTAATTGTCCCATGAGCACACTCAAGTGAATTACTTCTCACCACAAAGTGTAACTTAATTACCGTCGTGATATAAGTATTCGCCACTTCAAGCTAATAAGGCACAACTGATCAGACAACTTTTGGTGTTGGTAAATTTCACGGTGTGCATGTTAGCACCCCTCTCTATATTTAAAACAAATTATTTTCGACAACGCATCTA